CGCGCAAGGCGGAGCACGCCCGACCTGACAAGGTGCGTTGCTCTGAAGCCGCGCAGGCAGCCGCCCTCCTGCGCAATGTTCTCCACGATGCGCAGCGGGTCTCGGGAGCTGGCGGGATATTGTCCACGCGGTGGAAGGCGGTGACGACCACGGCTGCGAAGTGGATGACTTTTCGCATTCGTCTCCTGACTCCGGTGGACAGTCGGCTATTCCACCCCGTGTGGATATTCAGTGGATGTGGACCAATGTGTATATTTGGTGGAGAAACTTCGCGGTGTCTGGGCTGCGACAATGATTGCCGCTTTGTAGCTGCCATTCGTGGTTTAGTTGCCGAGAGTCGCTTGAGCGGTTCGTTAAACAACATCTCCGGCAACAATATCTCCCAAACGTCTTTTCAAAGCACCAATCCGATTCGCTGTCGTTGGCTGGAAGAACGCTGCGAGTCGATGTGAAAGCTATCGCCAATTGGGCAGTCAAAGCGAAGGCAAGGAGAACCTTACGGTTATGAGGTGTGTGTGTGTGTGTGGTGTTGTGTGTGGCACTCTTGCCTGTCATACAATGACGCTGTGTCTTCGATTTGTCAGCCGTTTTCTCGTCGCTGTCAGCACGCTATTCCACGCCAAATCCATTTGTCCATAACGTAGTCCACCCGAAGCACACCACCCTGGTACACCCCGCTGCCAACACGAGAACGGCATATATGCCTCCCACCTGACCTGACCACAACAGTCGAGTGACGTCCTGTCAGAGACAGCGTTCGAGGCGACGGGCTACACGCTCGAACACAGACAGTACAACGGTTTTAACTAACGTTCGATTCTGGTCACTCATAAACTGACCTATGTATACTTCACCGGTTGTCCATGAAATTCGCGGCAAAGCTTAACGAGGCGAGTAGGGATGCAGACGCGAAAAATCTGGCAACCAGGAGCCCGGCACGACCAGGACGTGAATCCATGCCTGACGTCGCTGCTGTCTGAAGCATGTGTGTCATGTTGGTCTGTATTAGTTTGTGGGGGTACAAGCCCGTTTGCTACCACCCCGACCAATCCCAGTGCTCCGATGAAGATCACCTTGGCTGAACGCTGCCACGCCGGTATGCAATGGCGCGGTTCAGTCCCTGTGCATCCGAGATCGCGCTACATGACATGGTCTATGTACAATGAGGGCGGTTGGGCTTAGATGCTTATGGGTGTTTTATTCATTTCTGTCTGAAGTATGTGCTGCTTTCATGCTTGCCACGCGCGTGGCTATAAACCCATGTGCCAATATGTGGGGTGTGTGGTGGTGTGTGTGTGTGTGTGTGTGTGTGTGTGTGTGTGTGTGTGTGTGTGTGTGTGTGGTGTGTGTGTGTGTTGTGTGTGTGTGTGGTGTGTGTGTGTGTGTGTGCGTGCGTGCGTGCGTGCGTGCGTATGCGTTTATGTGTACATAGATACATACACGTGCCCACTTTTAACCGATGCTGTGATGTTACTAAAAACTGCCAGTTTTAACAGGCACCATCTGCACATCTTCATGCATGAGCCAGAGGGTGTGGCCGCTAAAGGCCTGTCTCCCGGCTGTGTCGGCTTGGCACTGGTAGGCGGCGATGCGCTCCGCACACGTTCTAAGACGTGAGGTGTTTCGCCAATCGAAACAAAACGGAAGTGTTGCCAAGAAAGTGTATTCCGACTGGTGCATCCCAGAAACCTGAGGTCATCTTAAGATACTCTCAGTGCTGAAGGATGGACGGGAAGGCGCATCGAATTCAACACAGTCCAATGGTGATCATGTTGTGTTCACCATGTTGTTGAGCATCATCACACGCACACTCGTGTTTGTTTATGAGCGGCAGCAATAGATGGTTGGTAAAAACACCAAAGGAAGCCATTGCACGGAAAACCGCTTCGCCAAAGCATAAAATGCAGTGAGGTAAGCAAACATAGTAGGCCACACATACCACAACCCGCAAAGTATCTATTAAGCGTAAAAGATGCCCAAAATCCCCTCGATGTCTGACGGTTAGTCATCTGATGTCCTCCAAGCGCGCCGGTCGTCTCAGTTGGCGGACCTCCAGGCGCGCAGATTCATTTTTGGCAACCTTCCGCACGACCTGATGCGGTTGCCTCTGCCGACCGCCCGGAAGGCTCTGGGCTGGATTCTCCGGATGCTGCTGATGTTGTCGCAGAGCACGCGGGCCCACGTCACCTTGTGCACCTGGTTCAGCTGGGCACGCGTGAAGCTTCACGGCCGGCCGCCGAGGTCGTAGAAGAAGTTGTCTCCCCAGCGCAGCCGTGCGAACTGGTCGCCGACGATGCAGCGGATGGTCGGACCTACCGCCGCGCCTTGCGCCTGTCGCTCGGACACGGCGCCGACGAACAAGTCGATGTCGTCGACGTGCGCGTACACCCTGCGGAGGCGGCGCACGACATCAGCCGGCATCTGCCGCCGCAGCTGCCTGAAGCTTGTGACGCGCGGCAGGCCGCACAGCGCGCGCATCGTATTATAGGTGGCGATGCCGTGGTCGCGGCCTCGCTGCACGTTCAGAGAGATGAGGTCGAGCCCGAAGGCGTGGCCCTCCCCCTGGAAAAGGAACTCGGTCAGGTCCTCGGCGATGTTGGCGTCGCACGTCTGCGGGTGCTGCGTGATCATGCCGATGGCGATCTGGTCCAGCCGGCCGTCGTAGATCAGCGTCGGGTCGAAGAACACGTCGCGCAGGTTGATGCGCAGGCTGACCGAGGAGCTGGCGACGCGGCGGTACAGCTCAAGTTGGCCCTGGAGCAGTGTGTGGCCCACGCGGAACGCGGCCGTCAAAAACTCGGTGGCGATGTTGGGGTTGACACGATTCGAGTAGCGACTTGAGTCTCTGCGTGCCGATGCGCATGCGCCGCATGAATGCCTCGCCAACCAGCAGCGGCAGCCACTCGTTGTACGTGATGTGCTGGATCTCGGCGCCGACAATGCGGCGCGCCTCCTGGAAGAGCCGCTCGTCGTCCCAATGCGGGTTGAAACGCGCCAGGCGGCTTGCCAGTCGGTTGTGCTCACGCATCCAGATAGTGTGCAGCGTGGCGAGGCCGCTCTGCTCCGTGGCGCGCACGTCGCCGGCCAGGAAGCAGGGCTGTCCCGTCGGGTCGGGGCTGAAGCAAGGATTCTCCGTGTCGATCTGGACGCCGGGAGGGTCAGGCGGCAGCAGTGTATCCCCCACGGCCCCCTGCGTCAGCAGGAGGCCGCCCTGTTCGGCACGCACCTCCGCCGCGCGTGACACGCGAGACCCGTACACGCCGCTGCCGTCGATGAAGGCGGTGAGCACGTTGACGGGGTTGGCTGGGCCAGGAGAGCAGCCGCGCGGCACGGCCGGCACCGAGCGCGCAAACTCCATGCAGCGCTGGCCCAGCGCCCCGTAAAACGGGTCGTCTCCTGGCACGTCGATCGGCAGGCAGCGTGGGTGCGCGTTTTCAGCGACGACGCCGTCGACGCAACAGTCGAGCTCAACGCCCGGCGCGGCGAGCTGCACCGGCGACAGCGTGATGTCGTGGTCCATGAACTGGCCCAGTTGACGACGGAGAGCGTGAGCGCCGTGTTCTCATCGTCGGCGCTGCCAGTGACCCCGGCGCTGACAACGCGCGCCGTCGGCAGCGCGCCGCCCGCCGCCGACAAGCTGCGCGGCGCGTCGACGCCGTCGTCGTACGTGCTGGCGGCGTATCGCGCAATCGCTGTGTCTGAGGCGCCCCAGGTCGGGTGCTGCCGGTTGTTGCAGGCGCCGTCCTGGCGCCGGAACCGCGCACCAAAGTTGCACGTGGGCGCCGGATTAGCCGGGCAGCGGCGGCGCCACGCGCGGCGCTGAGGTTGGCCGGCGCTCGCGCCGCCTCTACCCAGACGAGCGCCTCGCTCGCCAGCGCCTGCACGCGTGCGTCCGAGTCGTGGCGCGACATGTGGTAGTGCGAGCGGCGACCCGGATGGCGCGGCGCCTTGGCCGCCGGCGCAGCCGGGTGCGCGGCCAGCCGGCCCCTTGCCCAGCTCAGCGCCGCCGCCAGCCGGTCGGGCGGCATCGCCACCGTCTCACGCTCCAGCACCGTCAGAAATGGCGGCAGCTCCGGCTCGGTGTCCGCGGCGACCGTCAGCAGCAGCGGCAGCATCTGCGTAAGGGACAGACTGTAACGCACCGCATCGGACGGACCGCATCGCATCATAAGGGACGGACCCCGCCGCATCGCATCGGAAGGGCCGTATCGCAGGAGGTTGTCGGTGCGGGCGGCTGGCGACGATCGACGAATCCGCCGATAGCGCGCGATGGGCCAGCATCGCTACATTAACGGAGCTCCCCATCATATCTATATGTTAAACACACACAAAACTGTACCCCCATGTGCACAGCATTAAACAAGTAGCATACCTGTGTAAGTTTTGTTTCGCTACGTGGCACGGTCTCGAGAATATGGGCATGCAGAGGTGAAAATTGCGATTTTGGGGGGAAATTTACCTTTCGCTTGGCATAATGGAGTCAATTAACGAGCTAGCAACATAAAATGCATCACCGATCGCGAGATCTCGCTGAGATCAGTCCACTGATGTTTCCGTGAAACACTGGAGCGGTCTCAGCTATCCCCCATCTGTCTGCCAGTCCGTTATGAAAAAGATCCAATCGGGCCCAGGGTCAATGTGTGGAAGGGGGAGGGGGAGGAGGGGGAAGGGGGGCGAGGGTTACGCTCTACGCTTCCTTTCACACAGTAGGAACGAAAACTATTGCTTCCAGCGCATCGGCACATTGGATATGAATTCAGGGCAGGCTTCTCAAGATATGATGGCTTTTGGTTGCTACAAAACAGCAAGGGGCAGGATCATATCACAGCGATGAGCTTCCCACCACTTGCATCGATGTTGAGGCGGTATGCTTGGAGATATGGGGCCATAGGGTCATGAGTACTTAGGTATTATGATTGTTCTTATTGACCAGCTAATCAATGTTTTGTTGGCCCTCCTTCTTTGGGCCAACGACTATGCAAAAAAGATCAACATTCAGGAACTTGCATTGAGGAACTGGCTTATCAACAGTTACCGGCTGCTAAATGGAAATGCTAATTTGGCGCCAGACACTGAACGACGGGTGGGGGGCAGGGGCGGATCTGGCCTAGAATTTTCTTGGGGGGGGGGGGGAGGGCAACCGTTCGTCGCCAGCTGGCTGGTGTGGGATCCCAGGTCCAGTGCGTGGTGCCTCTCGCGAGTACCTAGTAAGGACACCATTCAAAACCGAAAAAGCACCGAAATGCTTCTGAATCTTAAACAGAAGTTAAAACAAAACAGTTAAAGCTAAAACAGACGGTAAGTAGACGACACTTTTATGAAGTTCTGGGAATGTTTTGGGGGCCAAAACATACTCTCAGAGGTTTTGGGGGCCCTGGCCCGTGACCCTCCCCAGGATCCGCCTCTGGTGGTGGGACTGATGCTAATAACTGAGTGCCCTCACAATCAGAGCGGGTATTTGTCCATCCACGATACCTGTAATTATATAATAACAAAACAATAATTGTTGACCTGTAATTGGAGGCAGCGTGATCAACCGTTTAGAAAATTATTACATTTCCGGTTTAGATAGGTGTCATGTCCAAAACTTTTCAAGCAAGGTACCAAGGATATGATGTCTATCAACGTTATACAAAAAACATGAATGAGCATCTAGCAAAACGATGGCTATCATTCCATCAGTAATTGATACTTTAGCTTTCGATCGAACGAAACACGAACCCATGATGTCTTGGTCGTGGACGCGGCGCGCTCCAACTGCGCTAAAGAGCGACGTGCGGTTCCAAAGTCGCAAAATTCAAAATTCAAAATTCAGTCGCACCTTGCAGAGAAATGCCCGCAAGGCACGTTGCGGGTGTTCACCTTGATAGCTACAAAAACCGGTGCAAACCGAAGGGATCAAGCTCGCTTTTGGTATTCATATCAGTGAAATATTTTCAGCAGAATGGGTTTCACAGCTCTAACAAGATGGTGTATTTCACACATGAGCCCCATGGGGTAGTAGGAAATGTGTGACGTAGAGCCAGAAAGCTACCAACTGGCTTCGACAGAGCTGCCAACTAAATTCGACAGGGTCTGCTGCCCGCAGTGCTCTGTGGCAGACCTGTGCGGCCTTTTGGCCGCTCCCATCCCTCTTCACCGAGTTCCAGTTACCATGCCGACGTGTTTTACACCACCGACGTACGTGAACCCAGCCTGCCGCCAATACAACTGAGGTAAATGGTAAATAGAGTTTACATGCCACACTTGCGGTTGACTTGGTAGAAGCCAACGCACACAAGCGTGCACAATAATGGACAATATTGCACAATAATGCACAGTATTGTGCACAATAATGCACAATATCTAACAAATACATCACGGACGTCCTGCTGCGGATGTGCATTTTCAAGGGACGAAAATTAAATGTGACACATCCCAACCCAGAGGGCTTTGCTGGTCCCTCCTGATGAATGCCACATTCAGTATGTTTGCTAGTCGTCCGCCGTTCACGACGCACTCATTCTGCGTCGGACTTACAGAAGATTATGGGAGCGTAAAAGTGCTGCCAAATATGGGCGCACTTACGGTGGTAACCTCAAATATGGCGGCATAGTCTACCGCACTGCTATGGCAAGACTAGATGGAAAACATGGCTTTCTGTCTGTGAACGTGGCCACATTTCTGCTGTCCTGTATCTATCGGGGCTGAAAATATTATATTTGACATCAGAATGTTCGGCTTGTTCAAGGAAGAATGAATTTGGACAACTGCGGTAGTAGATATATTCCCTGTAATTTCTTAGGCTCGCATTTTTCTTTGCACTGCCATTTTCATTATGCCAATACAATAAGGATGTTCATGAGTATGCACAAGCTTGGAGGTTCTTTTGTCCTCACTCTTGCGTTTATCGGCTAATATGCTGAATTCCGTTTGGTCCAGACCACTGTGGTAAAAAAGCAACATTTCTCTGAGAAATTCGTATCAGCCATTTGCATCCCGTTGAATTTCTACAAACAATATAATTGCAAATAATATGACTACAAGCATTCTCCCTAACTCAACATCACCGGTTTCCATTTCAACCAGCTAAGCTGGTCAGTTTTGAAACCGAGTCCCAACGCTTGTCAACAGGTGATCGCCCGATACAATTCCCACAATTTCTGGTACAAATAAATTTTTTAGGTATCGAGGTATCGAGGTATCGAGGTATTAATCAAGGTACAAATAAATTTTTAATACCACATGATCCGCTATTAGATTGTCTATAGCTACGCTCTGCGGCCACGCTGCGCTGTCAGGAAATCATTCCGAAAAACCCTCCGGAGGCCGGGAGGGAACTGACCCGTTTACACGAGCGCATGTTAAACAAACAGCTTAAAGGGAGTGTGCCGCACTCATGCGGGGCTTTGAACTGAAATAGCCACCTTGAAAACCTTTTGGTGCCGTTCACAGCTCTGCCCTTCTTAAGACATAAGTCCCACTAGTTTCCAAGCCACACGCCCGCAAAAATGATGGACGGTATCTTGGAGAGAGTATTTTAAAGTCACCTGGGCATTCATGACTTCATAGTAACTTTCAGCAAATCCTGTCATTCAATAAGCCATACGAAAATCAAGGTAGCAAAAAGGTAATTGTCGTCCATATCTGGCGCTCATGGGCACGATTTCCAGATATAACGGCTCTCAATCGTGTCTCAGTCAATGTTGTGCAGGGTACGATGACGTAATCAAGCCGTAACGCACTCAGGGGCTCACTTGCTGAAAGGAGAAATGTGCTGTCTTGAGTCGTCCTTTTCACTTGGCAAGTATGCTTATAGCGAAAAGTGAGCCTGTTTCATTACATCCGATGTTTGCTTTGATACCTTCAAATGTGAAACATTCGCGCAAAGTCATGCATCACTTTTTGGACCTGTTCAGTCACCCAATGACAACAGGGTGATTCGATGTCTCGAACTTCCCATGACGTCAAACTGGCTGGAAAAGTAATGTGCTTGTGTTTGTACGTGTTTTTTTTTTTAAAGTTGACCAGACATTCAGAAGACGAAAATGTTCGCTGCTGGTTCGCCAGTGATTATGCTTTTTGCGGCATACACCTCGTATTTTGCCGTATTTTTACTTGCCGTATATTATTTGCCATATCTGATTGAAGGGGTCAGGGCTTACACAACAAGCACTGCTAGACGCTAGCTCTGATCCTAAAAAATCCATCCACTCAAAACGTCTCGATAAAGTCTTTCTAAAAAAGCAAAGGCTTTCTGCTCGATCGCCTTCCATTGCTTTGAGAATGGGGAGCAAGTGGCCTTGAAACGTTTGCTATATCAAACCACGATAAATGATCACAGTCGAACTGATTTCGACCAAACGCACAAACAGATGATCAAAAGTACCTTTGCTCTTACATATGACAAAACCTGCATTAATGAATACGTGCTGCGCAGATACACGAATATATATAACATAATATTACAACTATAATTGTCTTTGTCTCTGTCTCTACCAACGGGTTCCGGCTGCCTCGGCAGCACCACACTTGTGCAATACACATGTTTATAAATCAATGAGGCCGGGCACCGCCACGTAGTTAATATGAAACATGTTCTGTAACACAGGTGGGCGTTCGGATGAGGCACAACAACTGTCGCCAGGGAATGTATCAGCCCCGTCATCCATGTGTATTGCCATGGGTTCATTTTTACTAAGTGCCAAATGCGTGGCGCGGAAGAGACAAAGTAATTTCAGCAACCTTGACTCGCGTCGCTGCGTGTTGTTTACTTTTTCTCAGTTCACTTTATTGATGTTTTGTGAGGGGGGCGGGGGGCAGTGCTTGTTGGATTTAGTTGTGATGTGTTCGAAGCTTTTGTGTATTATGCACGAAAGCTAACGAAGTGTGTTGCGCACGATGCTGCTGTGTGTACGGTAGCCGCATGTAA